GTACAAACAAGAGAAGGCAGGCCACGACTTCCAGAAACAGGATGCAGGGCAGTTTGGCTGGATTGCAGGGTGAGGGACAGAGGGTGGGAGCTCCCATTTGCTCACTGTGACCTGATTTCACCTTAACAACCGCCGACACTCCCACCCCTAGGGAGAACAGGCTCTGGAGAGCAGTGTCCATCGGGGCCAGAGCCACTCGTGACCGGGAGCAGAGGCGCCTGGAACTCTGCAGCTGCCGTAGAGACTGGGGGGGCCTTCAAGCCACGTGGGCCTCAGAGAGCCTCCTGCCTCGCTGATGGCCGCTTCTCACCCAGATGGTGGCAGAGGCCCCAGTGAGGCCCGACTCCTCTCCTGGTTCGGGACTCTCCTTCCCAGCTGGCGGCATTTCTCCTTAAGGGTGAGCTGGTTCTGGCTCTGCTCTGGCCCCCAAACCTGGTCTCCACATTCATCCGGCTCCCAGGGAGCCCAGGGGGCCGCCTGCCTTCCCCTTGGCTTCTTCCTCTCGCAGTGAGGGTGAGGGCCAGTGTATTCAGAGTGCACAGTCTGCAGCCAGCCGGCCTGACTCTCCCCAGCACGGCTTCCCCCCTCCACGCTCCCCCCGCTTCAGAGCATTACAAACCTGATGACCATGGTGTTGCCCGGGGCACCCATCATCACAGAGATGAAACTGGGAGTCAGCAGGTCTAGGTGGGAGCCTGGACACAAGCACCCTTACAAGCACAGCTGATTCCAGCAGGTTATCTGGATGCACCTTGACAGACAACTCCTTTGAAAGAAGAATTGTTGAAAGACAGGTTTGATTTTCAGATTGCTTGAGGGGTCAGAGATAACCAGAACCAGGGAGGGAGAGAGCAAGAAGAAATCCAGTCTTTCTGAAGGCGGCCATTTGTATTCATTCTCTCCAGATAAGGATCACTGAATTTTCCAGGCCATCTCTTCCCACCTTTTCCCTGGCCCTCCCCAGCCTGAGAAAACTAAGCCCTGGAGGAATAATCACTGGCTCAAGAAGAAGAAGGCACATCTGTTTGGCTTTAAATGGTTCCCGCAGTTCTATCTAGAATTCTTCTCTGATTACCGCCTGGTCCACATCATCACCATGCTGCGTGCACTGGGGGAAAAGTCAAGACAGCTGGGTAATTGCCACTAAGCCTCCTCCGACTGGGCTAGTATGGCCAGTCAGCTTCACAAGGCCTCACCCAGCCCACCCTTTACCTGGCCCGAGACAGGTAAAGCCCAGAAGGTCACATCAATGTAGAGCCCAGCTACTTAGGAAGCATCATGACTCGCTGGCCCCCAGGCCCCTCTGTGTTGCTCCCATAGCTCCCACCTCCCCTTCTGTTTTATCATCTAGTGTTACGGTTGCCTGTGTATCTGTCCGGGCTTCCCTGGTGCCTCAGATGGTAAAGAATCTTCCTGCAATGTAGGAGACCTTGGTTCGATCCCTGGGTTAGGAAGATCCCCTGGAGAAGGAAATAGCAACTCACTCCAATATTCTTGCCTGGAGGATTCCATGCACAGAGATGCCTGGCGGGCTATGGTCCACGGGGTCACAAAGAGTCAGACATGACTGAAAAGATAGCATGCACGCATGCCTGTATCTGTATCCATCTTCCCTGCTAGAACATTAGTTCTAGAACATTCTGTCTTGTTTACATTTGTGTCCTCACCCCTGGCAAAGTGCCTGACATGCAGCGGGTACTCAGAAAATGCTTGTTAATGGCAGCAATAACACACACTTACCAAGCAGTAGAAAGCGCCGGGTGCCTCGCGGTCATTAAATAAACCAGTCCTCACAAAAACCCTTGAGAGCTATGAGTGAACCCATTTCACAGGTGAGGAAATCAAGGCTAGGAGATGAAGTAACTTTCCAACTAGCCAGTGGCAGAGTGGGATGGCTCCGGGTTGATGGGGTCTCTGGATCCCCGTACCCACTACACCCTTCCCAGCTCTCCAAAGCCTCCATCCAGCTCGGCTGCCCACGGCCCAGCTGCCAGGTCAGGACAGAGTGGCCCCTCCCTGCTCCACTGCAAGGTCTTTGCTAAGAGCCTGACTGTGAAGAACTTTTAAGATGAGAGAAGCTCCCCCTCTCCCTGTTCTGGAGGAAATAGTGTCACAGGGGACTCAGAAATACCACAGACACTGAGAACATTCACGAGGATAAAGCTGTGGACACCGTGAACTCCTGCCCTTCCTCTCCAGGTCTCCTTTCCTGTTTCTTTGGTGGGAAGAGGACCACACCCCACTGGACACTATCCTCCGCAGGCCTGGGGGCGCCAGACCCCAGGGAGGACAGAGATGTTGCCTGGGTGATATTCTCCTAGCTGTGAGGGGAGATACCCATCCCAGGGGAGGCAGGAGTCTCTCCAGGAGGAGCCTTTGTGAAGGCAAGTCACAGAGGCCAGGGACGGAGGACCCCTTGCTGCTGGCCCCACGCAGACTCCCCTCCCCGCCTCCCCTCCCTGGGTTCTCTGGAAGACTCCTCTTTTCTGCCGGGTTCGGGTTACAGAAGGCCCAAGGTTAATGGTTAATGGCCAGCCCCAGGGCTTTACTGAATCCTCCAGGGGCTGGTTAAGAGCAGACAGCCTTAGTTCCCAGGGGAAAAAAAGAGAGGGGTGAGAGAGAGAACGGCCTCTGGAGAGGCTTAGAGGAGGGCAAGAGAGAGCCGACTCAGGAGAAGCCAGCACCAGAGCCCTTCAAGGCTGGGAGTAAAACCAGGGGGAAGGAAGGCTGACTCAGCCAGGCCGGGAGGGCGGCCCGAGAAGGCAATGGGCAGTGGGCCGTGCTCCTTGAGAAGACGATGGACAGATGGACTCCGCAGACACGTCGTGTACTCGGAACCGTCACCAGCCGGAGCTTTGCTCCAGGCCCATCGGGCCTGGTGGTCAGTTTTGGAGAATTCCGAATGAGCGGCCCTGAGACCAGGTGGGGGTGGGGGCGGGAATGACTGTGTCCGGGGAGGCTTAGTCACGTGCTGGCCTGCCCACTACAGTTCATGTGTGTGCCGAGGCTGTGCTTATTTTTACCTGGGTAGGTTCAGTTTCCGATCACAGGAACGGTGGGGGCTTTCCATTGGTTTCTATGGAAACATTAGACAGAGCATCTGCTACCCAAGCAAACAAGGCTAGGGTGGCAAGACTCATGCTGGAATGACTTCGCTGTTTTTACTAAGGAAAACTGCCCCACCTGCATTTTTACTGCTGCCTTCTTGTATGGCAGGGGAGAGGAAGGGCAGTCCAGAGGGGCCAGCTGGCACCTAGGGAAGGAGAGAGGGCTGGCGAAACCAAAAGACAAGCATTCAGAGAAGCCCCTTGGTTTCCACTTCGAAGGCCCAAGTAGGTCCTATGATGAGGTCACAAGAGCCTGGGCTCTGGTCCCAGTTGCCCCATCTCATGGCCTCCCCCAGGGTGGCCCGCCTGTTGTCCAGGAGTCCCTGGGGTCCCATGGAGGGGGATGTAGGTGGAGGAGCAAGCTACCCAGTGCAGGAGGAGGTGAGAGTTGAGCGTGCTGTTTTCTGGAATAGAGGGCGGGAGGGAGGTGCTGAAGGCCTTGGCTCCAGAATCAGAAAGGAAGGCACTGGTGCACATGCCCATGTGAGAAGTGGTTTTATTCCAGGTGTTTTTCATAAAGACGAGGTCCTCAGGGACAGCGAGTGGCACATGCTTTGGTCAAGAAGAGGAAAAGCAAGAACAGAACAGGGCTGAGTCCCAAAGGAGGCTGACATGTGCTGAGCCCAGCCCAATCACAGGGAAGGAGGGGGCCCTCTGAAAGGCTGAATGGCAATCCTCTTACATTCAGTAAGGGATGCCCGAGATTCCTGTCCCAAAGGCCCCCACTACCCGCCGGGGTAGACACACACACAAGGGAGATGGCGCTGGGTAAACATCTCACAGTGGATGGGAAAAGTGTGGCTCTGGGAGCCAAGGTCTCCTTGCTGTGAGTGTAGGGGGTGCAGGCTGAGGCCCAGGAGCACTGCAGAGAGCCAGGAGGTGAAAGGAAACCAGTGAGACCCCTCCAGGGTGGGAGTGGCAGACCACAGCCCCAAGGCTCTGCAGAGGGAGCGGGCCACAGCAGTTGAGGCACGCTATGGAGGGGGAGGGGCACGGCAGCTCCAATCCAGGAAAGTCCAGACCCTCTGGGAGTCAGAGACCTTTGTATGAACCTGGGACAATCCATGGATCCTCTCCCCAGGACAATGCATATATGCACACACATGCACTATTTGGGGGACCATTTCAGGAGATTCCTGGGCCCTCCAGAATCTATGAACTCCCCTTAGGCATTCCAGGCTGATTTGCTTTGGGTGGGGGACAACCCCCCCACCCGCCCCCCGCAGGAATCCTGGTATCACCAGACTTTTGCCTAAGATCACTCGGCCCAGGCCAGTGGGGCGGGGAAGAGGAATGTTGGAAATATTAATAGCAGAAGTGGTTCCAAGACCAGGCCCTGGAGGAGGGAGAGAGAGACCCAGTGGGTGTGAGGAGAACTGGGAACTCTGTACACACTGGGGCCGCCAGCCAGCCTGCTGGCCGCTGCAGTAGCTGAGCCGAGGGCCTCCCTCCGGCAGTGGGGGGTCCAGCCTGGATGACTTAGTCCCCACAGCTTAACGATGCTCCCCGTTCCTACCGCCCTGCACCCCGATCCCGTAACGACACTGTATTTACAGAGGCAAGGGCTTCAGAGCAGGCAGGAGTCAAAATCTAGCAGGGAGGACGGGGCGGCTCAGTGGTGCCTGTCCTTACGGGGGTCCACCCGGTGCGCCCAGGCGGAGGCTCAGGGCACCCGCTGGTCTTTAAGGCCCAAGGGAGAGGTCTTGTCTTGACACATATCCAAACAGAAGCGGGATCTGTTTAATAAACTGGGTCCCGAGGCTGCCCCTGGAGGTGCCCCTGCAGCGTCTTGCTGAGAACGTGGGAACCAGAGCGTGGGACTGGAGGCGTTGGGCCCTGGGAGGAACTAGGTCCCTGGGCGAGACCCATTCTTTCCCGTGCTTTGCAGCTTTTCTATTCTCGTCTCAGCTCACTCATCCTTGGCCCTGGCTCCCATCCCTCCTGTCCCCAACCCAGCACCTGCCCGGGACAGACCCCTGAGCGGCTCACTTCTTCCTGTTCCCCACCTGCCCACAGGCTGCCCCTCCCTCTGCCTTCTGCCTGCCTCCTGTCCACGGCTGCCCACGCTCTCCTCTTGTGCCCAACCCCACAGGCAGGCCCCGGCGGCCCAGCAAGACTCGTGGGGGCTGCTGTCCTCCTTTTCCCCAGCCCACGAGGAGAGGCCCCAAACCACTGTCCAGGCCTTGGGAGGGTGAAGGGCAGTAATAAAGGGCCAGGCTGCCCAGTCGCAGTCCAGTTATCCCCAGACAAGGCCGGGTGGCAGCCAGGACAGCAAGCAGGCCATCCCCCTGCATCCTCCCCGTCCAAGCTCTGGAGCATCGTGTGTTGTGGCAGCGGTGTTGGCTGATGATTCCGGCAGAAATGTGACGAGATGGAGACGGCCCGCTTTACACTCCCCCACCCCAACCCCCTTCCGGTCCCAAAGTCTCATGCAAAAGGTACAGGAGGCCGGGGGCTACGGTCATGTGTGCGGCAACAGCTGCCACTGCTGGGCTGGGACGTCGGCCTGGCACTTGCTGGTCGCCAGCTGGGCGGGCTTGGCCTCCAGGCAGAGGCCGCTGACCAAATGCTGGATGAAAGAGGCTTTTCTCCTCCATCTCTGAGGGGAGAGGCAGAAAAGGGGTGGGGGAGAGAAAAACAAGGATTAATAATAACAATAACATCCGCACCCGCATTACACATGGGTGTAAGTGGCCCTAGGACACAGTCCCCTTTAAATCATCTGTGTCCTTTGCCTAAGAGGCACTGCACCCCACACACAAGCTTTAAGCCCTGCCCTTCTGACGCACTCTTGATTCCACAGGTTGGCACAAAGTTACTGTCTAGATCAGAGGCCCACAGGCTGAATGTAACCCAGAGGTGGATTTTGTTTGGCCTGCACAGCGCTTATCTAAAGTTTGGCTTAGCCTTCACATAGAAATCTGCATTTCCAGCTTCCCTTTAGACACAGGTCCAGTCTCTTCGGTTGCAGCTGAAGATCTGCTGCAGGTGGGGTCCTAGTTTCTGGGTGGGAGGGGCCATGTACTTACTGGAGCCACTGTTAGAAGGGAGATGAGCAGCCCCAGTTGCAGGGGGACACAGCGTGGGCAGAGAAGGGAACCATCTGGGAGGTGGAAACAAGGTGGAAGGTGTGGGGGAGGTGCTGCAGGTCTGGATTTCCCTTAGGAGTGTGGGCTGTGGGATACGGATCGCTGAGAACCAGTCTTTCTTGCCCATGTGGTCCAAGCAGAGAGGGATTCCTGGCTTAAAGGTCCTGGGCAGTGGGCAGGACAGGGCCTTTGGTCCCTCTGTAACCCACAGCATCCTACTGCCTGCGGTCTTCTAGTCTCTGACCCCCTGGGAGGGGATGGCCACACACTCCGGCTAGGCATGGCTGGGCCATGCCATTCTTTCATCCATCTTTCATTTAGTTTTGTTCTATGAAGAATGAATGTAAAGACTGAATCGATCAGTCATGAGGAAGTGCTCCCCAAATCATGGGATTCTCATTTCCTGTTGGTGCCATCAGACACAGTCTTGGGGTTCCCTCCCCCAGAGTCTCCTGGTCACTAGGTTCTAGCCTGGCCAGAGAAAAAAATACCACCTCACGGTGCCCTTCCATTGCCACAGTCTCAGTTCTTGTAGATTCCTTACAAGGGAGACCAGGGAGGGAGCCCTTCATTTTATAAGTGAGGAGATGGAGGCTCAGAGAAGTGAAGAGAGTGACACCGCTCTGCACAGGTATCTCTCCCACAACTGATGGGGTGGCCTCAGAAATGGGGTCAACAGAGGACTAGGAATGGAGGCCCAGACTTGAGAAGTCACTGGTAGTGGGGGAGCTGCTCACCCTGTCCTTCTGGAAGAGGGGCTCCACTGTTGGGGGCCCTGCAGGACCTGCAGGCCAGAAGGAATGTGGCCAAAGAGATTCCTAGGAGTCCTGGGTCAGCATGAAGGGGAACATAGAGAGGGGTGGCTGCCCTGGGAGCTACTGCCCTGACTTTGGTCTCAGCAAGGAGCAGGTGGGAGTGGGCTCAAGGCTTGACTCTCACAGAGGCCAGCACCCCAGGTGAAGGGGAGCCTGGGGACCCGCACCCCTGCAGGGGCAGTGAAGGCAGGGGCTGGCAGGACGTGCTACAGCGTGCCAGCCAGTGAGCAGGCCACGGCACTCAAGCCTCTCTCTCTCTCTCTCTCACACACACACACACACACACACACACACACACACACACACACGGGCGCGTGCGCACGCACACACATACACACACGGAGGCTGGAGGAAGAGGAAGGATCTGATTGCTTTTCCAGAATGAAATAGCAAACTGCCAGTCATCCCTAAAGAAAGAACTGACCCAGGCAATAGAAAAGGGGGAGGGAAGTAAACCCTGGTGGCTGAATGAGAGTGCCAGGTGCCCTCCTGCCCCTTCACTGCCCTGCAAGCTGGCCAGGGAGCTGGCTGGGGTCAGGCACAGTGGGGGCTACCAAGAAGGGGCAGGCAGAGGAGGGGCTGAAGCAGAACTCTGGCACTCTTCGGGTCCGTTCCTGGGCAGACGAGCAGCCCTCTCAGCCAGGAATGGAGCGGGGCTGACTCTGTCACCGGCTGCTGTGTGCCCTGAGCAAATGACTGCATCTCTCTGAGCATCTGTTTCTTCCTCAACAGGCAAGCCTGACCTGTCTCCCAGGATTAATGAAAAAGGGCAGGTGAAAGTTTGACAAGGAAAAGGCAGTGTTCATGTGAGACAGGTATGCCAGCTTGGAAAGCACTGTGGTTGGGTCTCAGTTTCCCCAACCAGCCATCAGTCAGGAGATACTGAACACCTACTATGTGCTGGGGCAGGACTGTGGACTTAGGAGTCACACTGGGCTTGAATCTAAGCTCCACCCCTTCCCAGCAGTGTGATCTGATACATTTCTTAAACTCAAGGAGCTTCGGTTTTTCACTTTTAAAATGGGGTTAGTACTAGGGCCTGGGGCTTCCCAGGTGGTGCTAGAGGTAAAGAACTTGCCTGCCAATGCGGGAGACATAAGAGATGTAGATTTGATCTCTGGGTTGGAGAGATCCTCAGGAGGAGGGCATGGCAACCTACTCCAGTAATTCTTGCCTGGAGAATCCCAGGGACAGAGAAACCTGGCAGGCTACAGTCCATGGGGTCGCAAAGAGTCAGACACGACTGAAGCGACTTAGCACGCACGCATGCACACACTAAGGCCCAGGTTGCTGGGCTGCTGGGAGGATTAGATGAGATGATCTATGTAAAACCCCTGGCACAGGTTCTTATTAAAACCTCACATTTGTTTTGGCTGTACTAGTTGTCAGCAGCTAGAGATACAGTGCTGACAAGATAAAAATAGTCCCTGCCTGCATGGAGCTCACAGGATGCAGGATGGACATTTAACAACTATTTACCCAAGGTACTTCCTCATGAGGAAAACAGATTAGACCTGGATACTGGCTTAAGCCCCCTGTCCTCACTCTGGAGGGCTTATTTGAGTCTATATGTCACACCTTCACTATGTTCCCCCGCGCTGCTGGCCAACCTGTGCCTGGGGACAAGGAGGCTTACCTGCCTGCCTTCTCTTGGGTTGCACGCCTGCAGCACGACCAGGGACCCTGGGGAGACGGAGCTGGAGGTGGCAGCGAGGCACTTGCCCTGCTGCTGGATGAGATGGTCAGTGAAGAGCCAGGCCTGCAAGATAAGAAGCAGACAGGCCAAACCAAAAAGGACAGCAATGAATGGATAGATGGGTATATGGATGATAAAGCAAATACACTGTGTATTTCGGTAGAATTTTCTACAAATACTAGGGATGGGTGGATGGCTAATCACTGTACAATTTTTTTCACTTTTCTATGTGTTTGAACTTTTTCATAATAAAATATTGGGATGGAGAAGCTTAGCTGGAGCCAGCCAGAGATGTATGAGCCAGCTCAGGGGATGGGAAGAAAGACAGGACACGGGAGCAGGGCAGCTGGGGGCAGGTCTATGCCGGGGTCTCCACGACCTGCTCTAGTTTGACGTGGGTGCATCAACTCATACGTTGGACACGTGTTCGCAGGAATCCTGGACACCTTGAGGCCTATCCATGCAGGCTGCCCAGGCTGCATCCAAGGAGAGTACTGGGTTCTGTTTGGGTGGCATTTCTGCCCCTGCAAGCAGAAACCAGGTGGTGCTCACAGGGCAACCGTGTGACAGGCTACGAAGCGGTGGAGCATGGCGGGAGCAGACCCAAGGAGCAGAGTGTGAGGGGGCAGCTTGCAGGGTCCTTGGGAAAATGGGTTGTGGAGGGTGTAGACAAGAGAGAGGAGACTGGGCAGAAGGAGGCCCCTAACCCCTCTCCTGGGCCTGATTCAGAGGTCCCAAGCAACATACCTGGGCCGCTGGGGGGTTCTTGGCAGACCCTCTGCAGATCCCCATTCCGAGCAGGAAGTTACCAGCTGTGTCCTGGCCCTGGGATTCTAAACAATTAGTCCCCTGCTTAATGATGCCCGGGAGCACTTCCTTCACGGGGATGCTGAAAGAAAAGGCAGTGGTCAGGCTTGGCCTCTGCCCTTCCCGGGGTGACCCACGCTTACCCAGAAAGCAGGCCCAGGCAATTCCCAGGGCACCCAGGTCTCCATGAGGAGGGACACTGAGGGGCAGGCCTGGCAACAGGGGAAGGTGAGGGAGCAGGGGTCCCCCTGGGAAGACTGGGCCTCCATCCCCCCTGGGTTCTGGGCAGGTCTGGGAGCCCCAGGGACTGCCCTTCAGGCCAGGCCTGAGAGGAGCTGGTGGGAGAGAGCTCAAACCAGAAGCTGGAGCTCCCCAGTCCTGAAAGAGGAAAGGCTAAGACTCAGATGTGGGCTCAGCATGCACTATCAAGATGACAGGAAGGAGTTGCTTTGAAGAGGCAAATGTAAAATATACAAATATGAAGATGTGTTCAGTCTCACTAATAACTAAGGAAATATGTATTAAAGAGTTACCACTGTCTGTTTGCCATATGTGTATATTTATTTATTAATTTTTAAAATATTTATTTATTTATTTGGCCATGCTGAATCCTGGTTGCAGCCCACAGGATCTTTGATCTTTGTTGTGACCTGCAGGATCTTCAGTTGTGGCATGCAGCCTCTAATTTGCAGCTTGTAGAATCCAGTTCCCTGATTTGGGATTGAACCCAGGCCCCCTGCATTGGGAGCATGGAGTCTTAGCCATTGGACCACCAGGGAAATTTCTATGTATTTATATACCTAAAATATTTAAGTGTATATATATAAATAAAAGTGTTAGTCACTCAGTCGTATCCGACTCTTGCAACCCCATGGACTGTAGCCCACTAGGCTCCTCTGTCCATGGGATTTCCCAGGCAAGAAAACTGGAGTGAGTTGCCATTTCCTTCTCCAGGGGATATTCCTGACCCAGGGATTGAACCTGGGTCTCCCACATTGCAGATTCTTTACTATCTGAGTCACCAGGGAAGATCTTATAATATATAAATAATATACAAATTATATATTTAAGTGTATGTGTTAAATATTACTACCTAGTGTTGGCAACGGCTGTGGGATTGGATCGTTTCATACCCCACAGATGGGAGCATAAACTGGCCCACTTTTTCTAGAGGAGAACGTTATATTATGTATCAAAGGCCTTAAAAATGTATATACTTTTGACCTAATGATCCTGCTTCCTGAAACTTACTATTCTAGGGCAACAATTATAGATGAGTGCAGAGATTTAGTTTAAATGATACTCATTCAGAGTGACTAGTTATACCAAAAACACTGGAAATTCCTAGATATCCAACAATAGGTGAAGGACTAAGTAAATTCTGATTCATCTGTCGAAAACCCTTTATCATTAAAAATGACTCTGAGAAAGGATATCATATGGGAAAGTGTTTATAAGATACTGTTAAGTAAAACAGGTAGGTTTCAAAAGATCCTTATGGAGGAAACCTGGGGCTCAGGCAGCAATCTCAAGACCACATTCAGGGATTTCCCTGGTGATCTAGTGGCTAAGACTCTGCACTCTCAATGCAGGGGACCTGGGTTCGATCCCTGGTCAGGGAACGAGATCCCACATGTCACAACTAAGGGTTTGCATGTTGCAACTAAAGATCCTGCATACCACAACAAAGACCTGGTGCAGCCAACTAAATTTAAAAAATAAGATAAAAGACCAGATGCAGCTCCTGAGGTGTCTAAGTGGTAGCAGCCCTGGAGCAGCTGGGATGGCCATCATCACCCTTCCCCTGCTCCCTGGCAGAGCCAAGATAAGCTCTCCTGTTTGCTGGCAGCTCTCTTAAGTCTGCATCTGCTTCCTTCTCTGTGGACCACCTCAGAACTGAGCTGCCAGGGCTCCCATTAGCCCTTATGTTGCCTTTCTAGAAATAGCAATAGGCATCCTTTTTTCAAGACATTTTACTTATGTTAGAAAATCATCATAAGATACTGATTTTGTTAGAAGACTTTTACTGTCCTTTGCCAGGAATTGCTGTAATAAAGGCACAATGCTGTGTGACTAGCACCCTTCAAATGTGGTATGCTTGTGCAGTGCTCAGCCTGCACAACTGTTCCTGACCATCCTAATAAAAGTAATATATTAGCAGTTACTGAAGCCAGCTGTAGAACTCTGATCTGGAAAAGCGGCTGAGCCATAGCAGGACTGCAGGCAGGCCTAGGAAAGCACAGGCCTCTCCCTTCAGCCTCCTCAGGCTCCCCACTGACCACATTCAAGTGTGGCCCAACTCCTGGGATCTCGTGTGGAGGAAACTTGGTATCATTTGTGCCTGTGGAACTCCTTTCTATCTAACAATCGGATCCACTCCAGGCCCCTGAGAACCGAGGTAGAACATGAAGGAACAGGCTGACGATGAGTAACCTGGATAAGAATGAACTGCAGTTTCTACCTTAAGAGCAAAAATTCATTTTTTTTAAGCCTCCACATGGTGACAAAACAAACGGAAGATGACTTATGCTCCTCATTTAGCACGGCTAATTTCATCCACTCTCCTGTCTTCTGGCGGATCCAGACTGATGCTAGTTATAAACTATCAATACTTCTTCCTCCTGGTCCTCAGGGGATGACATGGGGCACTGTGTGGGGACTGGGGTGTGGGAGGAGGCATATATCCTCAATCCCCTTCCACGGCTCCCCAGCTCCTGCCAGAGGCCTGGAGTCCTTGGCTTCAACCAGATAACATGAACTCTGACAGAACATAAAGAAATGACTATGCTTGTTTCACTCAGAAATGGCACATCTGAATAAAACCATCCTTTTAAAAGTGGCCATTTGAGGAAGCTGTTCATTTATTATACTTTCATAAATTAATGTTCTTCCCTTCACAGCCATTGTCTAGGGAGTTGGGGTTATCCAGGCCGCCAACTTTCTCCAAGGATGCTGCTGCGCTCAAATTGTTTTGGAATTCCTTGAACATTGCTCACAGAGTCAGTTTATTCTTGTTACTTGTTTCCATCTTGTTAACCTGTTGTTTGGGACCCAGGACTGTAATATCTGGGTTAATCAACTAAGTTATTCACTGGACTTGGTTATAACCTAACCATGGCTGTTTTCCCCAAATCAAATCTTCCCTCAAAGATTTGCCTCCTTTGAGGATACGCAGGCTCTGAGTGGTGGAATGTTCTGGAAAATCATGACAGCATCCTTTGGGAGACAGCTGTTCCTGAGATGACAGTTCTAGAAGGGAGAATGTTAATTTCAAAATTATTTCTGAACCTTATTGACTATGCAATTTATTTAGTTAAAAATATTTAGAGATTTCCCTGGTGGTCCAATGGTTAGGAATCTGCCTTCCAACGCAGGGGACGCAGGTTCCATCCCTAGGTGAGGAACCAGGATCCCACATGCCATGGGGCAACTAAGCCGTCGAACCACAACTAGCGAGAAACCTGGGTGCCAAAAGGAAGGACCTGTGCACCAAAACAAGATCTGGCATACCAAAATCAAATCAAATCAAACTATTTATTGAGTGCCCATTCTGTGACAGGCACTGTTCTAGGGGCTGGAGATAAGGCAGTGAACAAGACAGATAAATGCCTCTCACCTCATGGAGCTTACTGTCAAATGTGGGAAGATGACAATAACATTAATTGGCCACATAGAAGCTCCATTACGATAAGGGTGACCGAGGAAAAGAAGCAGAGAGTGCTGGGGAAGGGTCAGTCTGCAAATGCAGAGGTCAGGGGGGTCTCCTGCAGGAGGGACAGATGACTCAAGACCTGGAGGAGGTGAGGAATGATATAGGCAAGATGCTGAGAAGGATTTTGAAATATAAAGAATCAGCTCTGCCCACCCTCAGGCCCCCCAGTCATTAAACAGCGTACTGTTCTACAGCCCACATACATATACCATTTACATGTTGCCTCCTCATTTGCTGAAGCAAACATTTCCCCATGTTTTATTCACAGTTTATGATTATAATTTTAATTGACACATAGTATTTGTTTAGATCAATGCATCATGATTCACTAAACCCAGGCCCTATTGCTAGTTGTGCCTCTATTTTTTTCACAGCAAAGAAGCCTACAGTGGCCATTTATTTGTCAACAGTTTTTTCGCTTGTTTGCTTTATTTCCTTGGGCTAAACTCCCAGAAAGGAGAGAAGAGAGTCAGAGGAAGTGAGTGTTTCTGCAGCCTTTGCTACCTAATGTGCTGTTGCTTTCCTAATGGGATAATGCTCATTTCTTTTCTTCAAGAGTATTTTAATTAATTAATTTTGGCTGTGGGTGGGATCCTAGTTCCCGTGCCCTCTGCGCTGGAAGTGTAGAGTCTTAACCACTGGACTGTCAGGGAAGTCCCGACAACATCCATTTTTAGCTCTAAGGCCCAGTCTGTTAAACTCTTCGCTCCTACCACACCTTACTCTTCACTCCTGGTAACATCCTCCAGGTTCCTCCAGACCCATCACATGAAGACAAACACTAACAGTTTGAAAGAGCCAGACTGCCTGGGCTGGGGAGAGATCAGGATCAAGGATCCCCACGCCGCTGGCCCCCACCCAGGCCAGATGAGGGACCACGGCCACACTCACGTGAGCTCTGGGTAGACGTTATCTAGGTACCAGCGGAAGGACTTGCAGTTCATCTTCTTCCTCTGCTCGATGCGCGTGGCCACGCTGGAGAAAGAGGAGGAAGGCCTCGGCAGTGGGAAGAAGTCTGGGAGGTCAGCCCCCTCTTTCCACCTCCCCGGGTAGGGGGGCACGGGCAGGTCTCTTTTTCCGGAGCTAGCTATCTAAGTCTGCCCTTCAGCGTTACTTCATTCTCTGAGCTGCAAGCTCACCCCAGGGCTCCTGGCCATGCCTTATTTCTCTCCTCAAATTGGGGCCAAGGTTTAATCTTGGCTTCTTCCTCCTTGAGACCTCAGTGGGCATACCATTGCCTGGTGCTTATTTTCACAGAGAGAGCAGAGCCTTAATGTACTAGTAGTTTTCCTTTCCTGCATTCAAGCTGAGCAGAAAGTGTCTACCAACAAGAAAACCATGTTTCAAACATTTTTCCAAAAATTTGGCAAATAAGAACCATCTGATGTGTCCATGAACATCTTGATCAGCTCCAGGGATCATAATGGCCACTGACAGAAGACCAGCACCACCTCTGAGCCTGTTTGTTCTCAGTAAAGTTGGGGTACAATCATCCACCTCCAAAGGTTTTTATAAGAGTCAAATGAATAGACATAAGTGCCTAGCACAGTGGAGGCCCTCAGCAAATGTTACTTCCTCACTAAAACAAAGAGTGACATAACTTTTTTTCTTTAAGGGATAGATACAAATAAATAGAGGAAAATTCATTGATGATCACTAATTATGTTTTCAAACATTTCTGATCAAAACATTAAGTAAGAAATATATACATCTTACATTATGACCCAGTATACCCATGGGCATATATGGACACAGAACTAAAATAAGAGTTTCACAAAACAGTATCTATCCTCAACTGCAATCAACTGCTATTTTCTGTTCTAATCTGATATGTTCTAGTTCTCTATCACTTAAAAAAAAATACTGGTCATGTCATACTCAATTGATTTTGAAAATGCTTAATTAGACTGTAGTCATAACAGTCCAGGGCAGAAAAATAAGCTAACAGATCACCGTCAGATTGAAACAGCAAGGAAGCCAAAACCCCAGTGTTTTCTGCAGACAGCCATCCTTAAGCACTTCCACAGACATCCATCCTTCAGGCAGCTGGTGGATGGGCAGTGCTGGCATAAGTAAGCCCTCTCTGGTTATTTCTCCCCAAGAGGCTGCTTCTTTTTCCAGGACCAGAACCTTGTCTCTGTCTCGTATACCCTACAGTCTCCAAAGAGCCCAGGGGTGTGGGGTTCATTTGCTCAGAAGACCCTGAATGCTTCTCTGGAGTACACACGATTTAGTATTTCACTAAGGTTGTGAGCAAAGGCACAAGGCTAGGGAAGGGGCCCACCTGCCGAAGGCCTTCCCGATGGCCGATGGCCGGGCTTCATAGTAATACTGCTTGTACTCATCCATCCACACCTCTGCGGTGCGCTTGGTATTCCTAAAAGGAGAGGAAAAAGCAAAATAAGGTCACCAGGTTGGGGACAGAGTTAGGGCTGGGATCCAGATCAGCTCTGTGCAGTACAGGGCGAGGAGGCGTTCAGGAGTGCATGCAAAACGGCACTGATGTGGGAGTATCCATGAGGACGGTCTGTTTGGAGGGCAATCTGTCAGCATCCATCAAATCTGGGGGAATGGATACTCTCTGACACTCCACTTACAGGAGCTATATTCTACTGAAATACCAGCACATGGGCAAAGGGACATATACAAGAATATTTGTGTCATAAAACATTGGTGACAACCCTAAATGGCCATCAATAGAAGAATAAGGAACTATGTCCACATGGCAGAGTACTAGACAGCCTCGAAAAAGACCTGAAATGATAGGCTAGAAATCTATTTATTTTGGAGAGAACAAGAGGATAGGTGTAAGACTGGGTGAAAAGAACTTTCACTTTTTTCTATGTGATATGAAGAGTAAAAGTCATAATGTACAGTATAGGTACATATATATACACACATAGAATATACATAGATACAGCTTGAATTTTTACAGTGACCATGTATTACTTTCATAATTATAAAAACAGTGAAATGGAATAGGGGAAGCCAAACAAAGGCCATTTGATGAGCTAGACTTGAGGAGCCCCCGCTGTCAGCAAACAAGTCTAACCAGACAGAGGTTAGGCCTCGGAAGGGGAGAGTGCTCATGGCACTCCTCCGACCTCCCCTTGCCTCCACCATCAGGAGAGTGGTTGAGGGGGGTGGTCTTTCAGGACCTGCCCACTCCGCTTCAAGATGAAGTGCATGCTGTGGCTGGGAACATGGGTGGGCAGATGCTGACCAAGTCAGAGTCAGGACACAGCATCCATGACCAGTACTTGGGACCCAGTGTGTGGAAGGCAGCTCCAGTTGGTCGTTTCACCAGTTTTCCAAGATCTTCATGAACAAAGACAGTCAAGACAAGACAGGCCTGGAGAAGACACCCCCAACATCATCTTTCCAGCTCTGAAAGTACCAGGATCCCAGAACGGAAGGGACAAATGGGGAGACTAAGACTGGGGTAGTTGCTCAAAGTCACAGGAGTCACTGACAGGGCTGGGGTCTAGGTGTCCTGGCTCCTAATGTGATGCTCTCTGCACTGTGACCTACCTGATGTAGGTGAGGGCATTGCCCTCGGGGAAGTTGTACGGGTGCCTTTTCCTGAAGACATGGCCCACCCGGCTGCAGGGCACGATCTCCAAGCTCCCGCCGCACATCCACACACGGAAGGACAGCTCTGCAGAGACGGCAGCCGTCAGGAGGGGCAGGGGCCCCTTGGCAAGTCCCCACAGGGTAAAGATGGGAAGGAGCTGGCTTCCCTTGACTTTGGGGTCCCCTTGGAGGCACATGCTTGGGTTGGAGCTCCTGGGGTGCACCCACTCCTTGCATGTGTTCCTGAATGCCCCCTCCATATATGTGCACACACACATCCCACAAACCCCTCCACACACACACATATCACACACAAACCCTCCACACATACATTCCATACAGATACCACACACACACCCTCCACACACACATACCCTCCACACACATACCACACATACTACACACTCACACCACACACATATACCCTCCATATACACATATCCTCCACACACATACCACACACCACACACACACACACACACATACCCTCCATATACACAGACCCATCACACACATATACCCTCCACACACACATACCCTCCACACACATACCACACATACTACACACACACACACCACACACATATAACCTCCATATACACATATCCTCCACACACATACCACACACCACACACACACACACACATACCCTCCATATACACAGACCCATCACACACATATACCCTCCACACACACATACTCTCCACACACATACCACATATACATACCACACACACACCCTCCACACACACATACCACACATACTACACACACACACACACCACACACATATACCCTCCATATACACATATCCTCCACACACATATACCCTCCACACACACATACTCTCCACACACATACCACATATACATACCACACACATACCTTCCACACACACATACCCTCTACACACACACATTCCACACACATACCCTCCACACACGTACCACACATACCACACACACCACACACATACTCTCCACACATACCCCACATACATTCCACACACATACCACACACACACACATACTCTCCATATACACAGACCCGTCACACACACATACTCTCCACACACATACCACATATACATACCACACACATACCCTCCACACACACATACCCTCTACACACACATTCCACACACATACCCTCCACACACATACCACACATACATTCCACACACATACCCTCCACACACACATACCCTCTACACACATATATTCCACACACATCCCACACACACACATCCCACATACTCCCTCCAAACACACACACTCTCCACAGACACTACACACACATACCACACATACCCTCCACACACATCCCACACACACACATCCCACACAGCCCCTTCACGCAAACACTCTCCACAGACACTACACACACATCCCACACCCACACATCCCACACAGCCCCTTCACGCAAACACTCTCCACAGACACTACACACACATACCACACATCTCCTCCACACACATACTCTCCACATGTACATCATACACACACACCACACATACTCTCCATACACACATCCCACATACAGACCCCTTCCACACACACCACACATATTCCCCACATCTAAGCCCTGGCAGAGCAGCAGGAAAAGTTTTGAAGGAACACCAAGACCACGAATAGAAGGAAAACTGAATCAAAGGGCCGCATCAATCATTTCCAGCCTCTGCCTAGAAAGTCCTACCCAGACATGAGCTAAGGATGAACACATCTGCTCATCAGAACTGAGAGGCTAGAAAACCAACACCAAGCAAGTAAAAGGCTGCTCCAGTTGGCATTTTTTTCCGGCTGGCCCAGACCACCCTCTTGACCCTCGTGGTCTCCATTTACAGCTACCATGGGCCCTACCGGGGGCTTCCCAGGTGGTCCTAGTGGTAAAGAACCTGCCTGCCAATGCAGGAGACATAAAAGAGACACAGGTTTGATCCCTGGGTTGGGAAGTTCCCCTGGAGGAGGGCATGGCAACCCATTCCAGTATTCTTGCCTGGAGAATCCCATGTTCAGAGGAGCCTGGTCGGCTACAGTCCCTAGTGTCATGAAATGTTAGACACGACTAAAGCGACTTAGCACACACACGCGCGTGCACTGGCCCTATTGAGACACACATCCTGTTGATGGTGGTGATGCTGAAGGAGCTCTCACAGATGACCGGTCCCTAGTAGAGCTAGGGGATGCTAGTGGTGGTTATTCTGCCTCCCAGAAGGGGATGTCACAAGTTTCTCACTCCGTTGTCCACTCAACAGTCCTTCTGTCAGCTTCTGGCAAGGATCCACCTTGGTAGCTGGCTGAACCTCACATAATCTCTTCTGATTTCTTCCTCTCTTTCATTTTAACCCTACAGTTGGACATCCTGTGATATTAAAACACCTCTCTCTTATCCCAGAATATCCACAGCATTGTTTTTTTTTTTTTTGGTTTGTTTTTAATTTTTTGAAAAAGGAAAGACCACTTGTCATGAGTTCTAGCCTTGGTCTCTCTTCCTACTCCCCAGGTGGCTGTAAGGACACTCGTGGTCCCTGGTCAGGTCTGGGGGCTCTCACCTGGCACAGAGGCTTGGGGCCCTCCCAGTGACTAGCAGAGTAGGGAGCAGAGGACTCAGGACTACCTCCTGGCCAGCCTGCGTGCACCAGACAACTTCCCGATATGGTCCTGGGACCAGGACTAGACATTTGGCATATCTGGACCTGCTATATTCAGGGTCGGCTATAATTAATGGGCTTCTTTAGGTATATTTGCTAACTGCCAGGCCTCTCTCTTCTCCTGGTCAGAGCTCTGCAACTGGTTCAGCAACTGAGATTCAGAATTGGGGACAGAAGATCTGCATTCTAGTCCTATTTCTGCCAGGCTAACTTTGTTACACTATTAATAGTTAGGGTTTCCCTGATAGCTCAGTTGGTAAAGAATCCACCTGCAATGCAGGAGACTCCGGTTCAATTCCTGGATCGGGAAGATTCGCTGGAGAAGGGATAGGCTACCCACTCTAGTATTCTTGGGCTTCCCTTGTGGCTCAGCTGGTAAAGAATCTGCCTGCAGTGCAGGAGACCTGGGTTCGATCCCTGTGTTGGGAAGATCCCCTGGATAAGGGAAGGGCTACCCACTCCAGTATTCTGGCCTGGAGAATTCCATGAACTGTATAGTCCATAGGGTTGCAAAGAGTCAGACACGACTAAGCAACTTTCACTTTTATTGCACATACACCATATTGTCATATTATTGTTCACTTATTGTCATTACTAGCAACAATGGCAACAAGAAAAGCAGTTAACCATCATGCACTTACTGAGCATTTTGTACTCTTTACGGCTGATGTCTAATACTCACAGCTACCATATGACATTGATGTTATAATCCTTGTGTTTTTAATAGGAACTATGAAGCTCAAAGATGTTAAATAACCTCTCTGAGGTCACCCCACACTCAGTTGCAGAACCGTAATGTAAAGTCCATACTTTGTTCAGCAAGTCTCATTATTTGAACCAGATTCTTTAGTATATTCTGCAGATTTTTACCAAAGACCTATTTACGACCCATCAGATACTGTTCTAGAGTCCCTCACACTCTAGTGAGAGAAGACAGGAACTCAGTAAAATAAGAAACAAAAATGCAAGTAGACAAGAAAATGAGTAGAATACATGGTCTAGTTGTGTCCGACTCTTTGCAATCCCATGGCCTGTAACCCTCCAGGCTCTTCTGTCCATGGGATTTCCCAGGCAAGAATACTGGAATGGGTTGCCATTTCCTTCTCCAGGTGATCTTCCCGACCCAGGGATCGAACACTGGCTCCTGTGTGTCTCTTGCACTGGCAGATTCTTTACCACTGATCCCGTAATATCTCTCTGATGGTAATAAGTGCATTGAAGAGGATGGAGCAGGCAGGAAAACTGAGGATGATGAGTGGAGTTGGGGGTGGGGTCACAATTTTAGTGAGGCTGATTTGGGATGCTCTCCATGAAAGGAGACATCTGAGCTGAGGCCTGAGGAGGGGAGGAAGAGTCACGTGGCTCTTGGGGACGAGCACTGCGGGCAGAGGGACCAGCAAGGACACAGGTCTAGAGGTAACAGCGCAGTTGGCGGGAGTGAGGGAGAGGTTGGGGCAGTAAGAGCTGAGGGCAGAGTTGGTGGTGTGTCTTGTAGGGGAAGGGCAGATGGTCTGAGGACTTTGGGTTTCGCTCTGAGAGGCATGGGAGCCCTTGTGGGGTCTTGAGCAGCAGAGTAACATGATCTGATGCAACCTGAAAAGGATGCCTAATGAAAATCCCAAGCATTTTCACATTTGCCACCCCCGCTCAGGGCGGCCTCTGAGCGCCTGCCTGCATTTGGCTCTCTCAGGGGAAACAGGAAGGAGTCTCGGTTTAGGCACCTCCCTTCCTTCCACAAAGGAACAGAACAAAAGGCCCAAACCCACCAGCGGTGGAGTCTCCTAGTTCAAAACTGGTCCCAGCAGTTGAATGTCTGAGCTACAGGGCTAGCTTGGGAATTTCTTTGAATTTCTTCGAAGAAACAAAACCTTCCCTAGAACCACTGCGTGGTTCACCTTTCAAGTTCCCCCAACCACTGAGCCCTGGCTTCAGGCAGAGTTTAAAGTTAGCTATTTGATCATTTACTTGTTTCTCTGTCAGGCCCCAGCCTTTAAAAAAAAAAAAAAAAAAGAAGGGAAAAAGAAAAAGGCCTCTGGACGCAGCAGAGATCCTTAGTTTCTCAGCTCTCTGAGACTTTACAGGAAACTGGCTTTGCCAGAGTTCCCTTCTGGCTGAGACTGAGGACACAAAAGAGGTCACTCTGGCCCAAAATACATGAAAGGAGGTCAGAATGGAAGGGTCACTGCACCCCAGTTCCCAGCACTGACTCCTCCGAATGCCTGCCTAGAAACCGTTTCCAAGAGTAAGTTACAAAGGGGAGAAAATCCCATGCCTGTTCCCACTCCAGCTGGTTCTGAGTCAAAGCCCCAGTGCCCGTCTGCCCCACTGTCCCAGTCCAAGAGGGAAGAAAGACCTAGTCCCCTCAGCCCAGAAGCACAGACCATAACTTAGATCACACACCTCACCACACTGAAGTGATCCCTCCAGTAAAGGTGCTTATCCTACACCTGTCAGATGTGGAGTTTCCTGACTGAGATCTGGAAGGTGGCATCCACCTCAGTTTGCCCACCTGTCAGATGGGTGAGATACCAGGTCTATTTACTTCTCAAGAAACTGGGTCAGGATGAAAAGGGAAGCAGTGGGAAAAGCTCTGCAAAGGACTGAGTGGGTCCAGGAACAGCAAGGACAGGCCTTTGTCTTTTATGGGCTTCTTGGTATCCCTCCCTCCGGCTCCTGGAGAACCTCTGGGATTGTTCTCTGCCCTATTCCACCCTGCTCTTCATCTGGGAGCTACTGTGTGGGCCACACCCCTTGGCTTCCTTCCTGAGTTAGGACAGGTTCAGCCTGCAGTCAGGGGGAGAGTGAGGGTGGATGTTCATCCCCTGACACCTTCCACCTGGTGCATGGGCTGACTGCAGGCACCCCAAGACCACAGGTTATACTGGGGAGTGCTCTGTCCCCATCTTTTGGACCTAGGGGTGGCTGCACCTCCCAGCAGTCACACGCCTAGCCCTTCCCTGTCCCTTGTGGTTCCCTATTACTTGTCCACACCATGTAAATAGGCCCTTTCATAAACCCCTACATCAAGTGTTCCATCTGTATCCAGCCTTTGTCTCATGAACCTCATCAGCAACCCTTGAGGGTCACTGGCTCTTCTCTTTCCTTCTGGAGCTAAAGGGTTTCTATGGTGTTGTGTGTGTGTGTGTGTGTGTGTGTGTGTGTGTGCGCACACGTGTGCACGCTCAGTCATGTCTGACTCTTTGTGACTCCATGAACTGTAACCCACCAGGCTCTTCTGTCCACGGGATTCTCCAGGCAAGAAAACTGGAGTGGGTTGCCATTTCCTGCTCCAGGGGATCTTCCCAACCCAGGGATCAAATCCTAGTTTCTTAGCGTCTCCTGCATTGCAGGTGGATTCTTCACCATTGAGCCACCTGGCTTCATAAGTAATAATAATGGCCACCAGTACCTTCATCCATCCTCTTCCTTAGTGCTCATGACAGCCTCTTGGGGAAACTGAGGCTCGGAGAGGCTTTCACTTACCCAGAGCCAAACAGCTTATAGGGGTAGGGCCAGGGTTTGCACCCAGTAATACAGTCTGACCCTATTACTTATGTTGAACCATCACCCTCTACTGCACACCACCTCTCCTTCAGCCTTTCTGGTAGGTAAGCAGCCATGTAGTTCCTCCACAGATGTCTGGCCACGTGGCCACAGGTTCTCCCTGACAACCTCATCTCTTTGTTTACTAGATATGTGGCTCTGGACAAATTACTTAACCTCTCTGTGCCTCAGTTTACCAGTAGAATGGTACTTCAGAGATTCGTTGTGAGAATTTAAGTAGTCAATATGTATAAAGTCCTCAGGGCCTTACACATAGACAACACTCAATCTGGGTTTGCCTACTATTGTTATTGTGGTTATTTCCCAACTTACCAAAATTTTCTCCCCCCCAGATGTCCATCTGAGCATCATACTTTCCCAAGTGGTTAAACCAGGACTTGTCAATCACGAAGATTCCTCCAGCTATGACAGGCGTCCTGGGAGAAAGGAGAGGAAAGAGGTAATACATTAGCTAGAGAATCTGAGCCCCTCTAGATGGCCCCAGGGCTCAGGCCATTTTACCCTACAATCACCCACTTGCAGAGTTACTGGGGCTGGATGTCTGGCCTGTCCGTTGGTCTATGATGTCTCTCTCCCCAGGGCTCAGAACAGAGTCAGCCCTTAGATCGTGCAGCTCTAAGAGCCCTGGTGACTGAACCGGCCCCCAGTGGCCTCCAAAGCCTCTGACTCAGGGGAGGGAGGCATCTCCCCAGAACCCACAGCAGCTCTGACCTTATGGGTTTGGTGGGGTCTGTCCGCGCAATCTTCTGCTCCAGGGGGATCTGCTCCCACTTGAAATGCAGGCTCCAGTCGAATCCTAAGGGTCAGAGTGGGGTGAGGATGGGCCTTAGGGCTCCTGTCCCCTCATTCTACTCCCTGAGAGTCTTTCTTGATCAGAACCCAGCTTGCAGACGGCCCTGGCCGATTGGTGTAGTCATTCCTTCATTCAGAATGAGACAGATCCTGTCCTCATGGAGTTTCAATCTACTGGGTAAGACAAAGACTTACAAAGATAAATCAATAAGTGGATAATATGTCCGTTGGGAGTGAAAGTGCTAAAAAAACAAAACAAAGAAAGAAAAGACAGGAAACATGCCCATGCTATTCTAATAAGGGTAGCCAGGAAAGACTCTCTGATGAGGTGACATTTGAGTAGAAACCTGAATGAAGGACTGATCCATGCAGACTGATGGGAAAAGGGAATTCTAGGTGGGAGAACAGCGAGTGCCAAGGAACTGGGGTGATTTCCCAAAGGAGAAATGTCTGGCTCCCTCCCATTCATCCTCAACATCTAACTAATGACTGTGTCCATTTATTGGAAATCTGAGCCCCAGAGAGGAAATCCACTCAGCTCATTAGCTCCTGGCCACAGATTCTCTGGAGCTGCTTGCCCAGTAGAACTTGCTGCGTTGATGGAAGTATCCTACATCTGCCCTGTCCAACACGGTGGACACAAGTCACATGTGGTTATTGAACACTTGAAGTGCTGCTGGGGCAACTTAGGAACTGAGTTTAGAATTTTACTTAATTTTAATTAACTTAAATGTACATAGCCCAAAGTGGCTACAGTCTACCGTATTGTACAGCATGGCTCTAAGGCCTAGATCAGAGCTGTCCAAAAGAAATACTTTGCAAGCTGGAGATGCAAGCCACATATGCAATTTAAATTTTTCTAATAGCCATATCTAAAAGTAAGGCCATATGAAATTAATTTGAATAATGTATTTTTAATGCAAGATCATCCAAAATACTATCATTTCAAACTGATGATCATATTCATAATGAATACAAAAAATTACTAATGAGATTTTTTACATTCTTTCAAACTAAGTCTTCAAAACCTGGTGTGTATTTTATCTTACCGCACATCTCGATTCACACTGAAAATGGAGTCACACTTCAAGAGCTCAATAGCTAAATGTGGTTAATAGCTACTGTATTCAGCCAGGTCTACACCATTTTGGGGTGTACAAGTCAGTAATCCATGCAAAGTTGAGGGTTCCCCCTTCCCTACTCCCAAGATAGTTGTCATATCATGTTCTTCTGCCAAGACTCGTGCCCATCCTCCCTGGGCTAGCTGTATTTGAGAAGGATATGTCAAAGTTTGGGGGCAGGGAAAGATTGGAGACTAGCTTGACTCTGCCCTCATCATGCCAGGAGCCTCCAACTGCCAGCTCTGGTCCTTCATCCCCAACTCCACAGCTCTATACAATCTCCTTTCGTTTTCTGGAGGTAAAGGGCAGGGAGATGCTGTCTTGTTTCCTGGAGATGCTCTGGACCTACCTCCGCGAAGGTCAGCAGATGCAGCAAGGTAAGCGAAATTATCTAGACTGATGACATCAATGATGGGGCTCACCACGCGGGTGTGGTCCTAGGGGAGGACACATGAGGTGGTGTGAGGTCAGGGACTCTGTGAAAAAAGCCCGAACTGCCTGTTTGGTGAAGTTCTCTCGAGGCATGAGGTACTCAGCACCTCCTGCAGGACATGTCAGCTCCCAGGAGCTGTCCTGCATCATCACACCAGGCTCACAGAAGGTCCCACTTGGGTCTCACGGGCACAAATGCTCTCCCAGCCTCTTCCTCTTACACCATGTTGAGCTCTGCTTGGATCTCACCTCCTCAGTGAAGCCCTCCCTGATTGCTGCAGGCGGAGGATTTCTTCCTCTTTTTAAGCTGCTCTCACAATTATAGTCCAGGCAATTCCTGGGACAACGAATCAGATGTTGCCTGAGGTGGCTTTTCTGTTGCTGGTTTGAACTGTTGTTTTACTAATTGTCGGCCACCTTTGTACATGTTGGGGTTGAGTCTTCCCAACTGGACCACCAGCAGCTTGAGGTTAGTGACCCTGTTGCAGTCCCTGGGGCACCTGGGTGGCACTCCTCTCATGCCACCTCCACTTCAAGGTCAGACTCATACTCCCTTCATCACCTCCTAGACACAAATCCACCTCCAAGATATTGGTGGGTAATGCCAATTTTACTAAAGGGCTTTTTCCTGAGGTGGGGGATGTGGAGAGTAGTGGTGGTGGTGGAGGATTTTATCATATAACATGTGCAAAACTTAATCGCCCTTCATCAGCAGGATGTCTGCTCTCTTCTTTTCTTCCTCCATAGAGGGACAAGGAACAGAGCCTCTTCTTTCTTTGTCTGCACTGACCCTCAAAATGCTCTTGTCTGCAGCTTTGAATCTAGCACTGCCCCTCAGTTCACACCCTGTCTTAGGATGACAAAAATGTGGGACATGGCAGATCAGAGGAGACCATCCATGGTCTCACAGTGTTCCATGGGGGCCTCACTTTATCCTTTTTATACATTTGTTTTTGTATTGAGATATAATTCACATTATATAATAATTTTATTAGATATAATTGATATACTATCAAATTCACCATTTTAAAGTGTACAGTTTTGTGGTTTGCAGTGTATTCACAGGGTCGTGTCACCATCACCACTATCTAAATCCAGAATACTTTAATTACCCCAGTAAGAAACCCTGTACCCACTAGCAGTCACCCCTCATCCCCCATTCCCTCTAGCTCCTGACAACTACTAATCCACTTGGTATTTCCTCAGATTTATTTACTCTGGACATCTCATATAAATGCAATCATATAATTTACAGCCTTTTGTGACTGGCTTCTTTCACTGAGCATAGTTGTCAAAGTTCACCCATACTATAACATGTATCAGTACTTTATTCCTTTTTTATGGCTGAACAGTATTCCATTGTATGGCTATATCACATTCTGTTTACCTACTCATGAGTCGATAGACATTAGTTTGTTTCATGTTTTGCCAATTTGGAATAACACTGCTCTGAACACTTGTATACAAGTTTATGTATGGGGTAAGTTTTCATTTCTCTTGAGTATATATCTAAGAGAGGAATTGCTGGGTCATATGGTAACTCTATGTTTAAACTTCTGAGGAACTGTCAGTCTGTTTTCCAAAGTGGCTGCCATTTGACATACCCACCAGCAATGCACAAAGGCTCCTATCTATCCAAATCCTCACCAGCAGTTGTACTGTCCATCTTTTGATGAGCCTTCCTAGGAGGTATCAAGTAGTATCTCATGGTGGTTTTGACTTGCATTTCCCTAATGACTTAATTTTGAGCATCTTTTCATGTGCTTGTTGACCATTTGTCTATGTTCCTTGAAGAAACATCCATTCAAATCCTTTGCCCATTTTTAAATTGGGTTCTCTGTCTTTTATGGTTGACTTGTAATCACTTCATCCTTGGTTCCATGTGTCCAAATCCTCCCCATTCTAAAGAGCAGCAGGCACATGGGAAGGCCCTCTGCTTGAGAACAATGTCCTCTCCTCCTCCCTTTGCAGGCTTACCAGTCTGACCCACCACCCTCCACTCCTCATCACTCCCCCGGGAAGAAAACAACAACACCCATTCGCAGAAGGAGCTCCATGGCTCACCCACAGATGAAGTCGCTCAGGAGAGAGCAGATCACTTAGTTTCTCACTCTGCCTGTCCAGCTCTCAGAGACAGTTCATACCCTCCCCACCCGCAATGCCAAGAACATGGTGGGCACGTCCCGAGGGACAGAGCTCCCCCAGGGACAGAGAGACTTACCTCTTTCACTCGCTGCAGCATGGGCTGCAGCCACTCCGTGTTCACTTCGCAGTGGCTGTCCAGAAAGGTGAGGACGGCAGCTGCCGCCACGTCTGCCCCACGAACTCGGGAGCGGATCAGCCCTGAAGTGGGAGGGACAGGGTGGTGCTGGGACTCAGCCAGTTTGCTCAGCCATCCCCATCCCCTCAAAGGCTCAGGACTCTCTGCCCGTTAGGGCTCAGGTTTCCTCTGAGTTACTGTAATTTAACTTCTCTTCGTATTTGCTGATTTCTTCCCTCTCTCTTCCTTTCTCTTATCTGCCCATCCATCAACCATCAATACTCCAAGGCTGTTCTCTGAATGCCCCCCGGTGTGGAGGGCAGACACTAGGCTCTGGGGACACGCTGAGGAACAGTCAAGAGTTTAGTGAACAGAAGTGGCAATGAAGCGTGGTTTGGTACCTAAGGAGACCTAGAAACCAAAACCCTTTCCCCTTCCACGTGGAGGAACCTCAGGGTGCTCCCCTCTGGCTGCACTATGCTCTATGGCTTGCAGAGAGTCTTCCAGACAAAGACAGGCTGGAGCCAGTGCTCTCTGCTTTATCAAATCTAAACGCCTTTCTCTGGCTTCAAGGCCCTCCATTATCTGTTCCCACCCCACTTATTCCCTGGCTGACCAGGTCTGATTCTCCCAAGAAGGGAGACTAAGAAAAGCAAGGTTAAGAGGCTGGGCTCTGAGTGTGGGTCCCCTGGCTGGGGGTGGAATCCTGGCTCTTCGGTTCATCACTCCAGGCAAATCACTGAACCTTCTTAAACCCTAGTTTTTTTATCTGCAAAACAGGATGAAGGGCTGTTATGAGAACTGAGTGTGACAATGTGAGCAGAGATGAGAATGTAGGAAAGGCAGGAAGAGGCTGTTAGTACTACATGTACCCAGGCCTGACTGATGCCTCTGCTCAGAGTCTCTGGGCCTAGAATGCTCTCTCTTGCACCCCATTCATCTGTCTCTCACCCCCTCACCCAATCCAGGCTCCCTCCCAGATCACTCCCTTCTCCTTCAGCTCCCTACTCCCACATAATTACACCAGCCTTGGGTCCATAATAAGCTGTATGAGGGCAGGGACCACATGCATACTTCTTTTGTGTTCCCTGGAGTGTCATGCACAATCCTATGCCATAGTTGATGCTCCAAAGTAGTATATCTGTTTTAGATTGCCCTGTGCTTTTCTCAAAGCATTTAATCCTTACAATAACTGTGCAGGGCAGAAAGAGTATACTATTAGTCCCATTTCTCAGAAAAGACAACTAAGGCAGCCAGAAGTAGAGCTACTTGCCTACAGTCATGCTGTGATAAGAGCTGCTCCGAGACAGCAGAAGGGTCTTTCCCCAGGCCTTGGTCTTGCCACTAGGAATGCAGCAAGACTACATTTGGTTGGTATAACATGGCATCAAAGGGGAGCAGAAGTCTAGACCAAAATGGGTCTACAGTAGCACCCAGGATCCAAGGACGTACCTTCCCGCCGGTCATTGCGTAGGCACTTGACCTTGGGGATCCTGGTTAGCAGCAGACAGTCTTCGGCTGAGGGTGGAGAGAAGGAAGCAAGACTGTTCAGATATGGACATCAGACCACATGTAGTTTGAACAGGCCCAGGGAAAGGGCTGGGGAAGGTGAGGTGTGGTCATCTCCACTGGGGTACAGGTCATCTCCCCATCCCCTACTCCCAGGACAGACTGAAGAATGTCTGTACTTGTGGCATAACCCCCAGGGGGTGCCACAGAGTACCAACAACCTCTCCAGTCCAACACCCTCTGAGCTAGATTGTGTATTAAGTTGCTTCACTTGTGTCAGACTCTTTGCAACTCTTTGGGACCTCAACTGAAGTCTTCCAGGCTCCTCTGTCCATGGGATTCTCCAGGCAAGAATACTGGAATGATTTGCCATGCTCTCCTCCAGGGGATCTTCCCAACCCAGGGATCAAATCCACTTCTCTTGCGTCTCCTGCATTGGCAGGTAGGTTCTTTACCACCAGCACTAACTGGGAAGCCCATTTTGTGAGGACAATATTCTGCACACAGTAGTTGTGATAATGAAGGATACTGTAGATGTTTAATCTTTTAAAAGGTCATCTCACTGGTGTCCCATCAAAGCAACATCACTCCTTTGGCACCAAGGAGCAGAGCCAGGAAGGGCACTTAGTAAAGACTGAAGATTCTGGTGAGGAGCAGAGGTCAGCCTGCGGTGGCCAGGACTATTTCAAGAGTGCCTCCCTCAGCATTCTGGAGCAATGGGGTGTGAGGCGGTGCAAAAAAAGAAGATGGACACTTACGATCTGAACTGAAGTCATCCACTAGAATGATCTCCTGGATCAGGCTGGCAGGAGTTCGGTTCAGGACGCTGGAATAGGGACCAAGACAGATGAACCCAGGTTTAGGGGTCCCCTTCTAAGACTCCCTTACCCCCACCTCGGGGGCCACCACACTGGCCATGGGCAGCTGCTAGCAAACCCTTCGTGCCCTGGTCAGTGACTGAGGGGCAGGATGTTCCTCAGGCTCCTCCAAGCACCCACTGACCTGCTGCCTGGACCCTCAGGCACTTGAGATTCACCCCAGGTGGTGGGTGAGGACTGTCCTAGTTTAGTTGAAGCAGGACCCATAGCTGCTCTGGCTGCCTGGGCTTAACAATGGCAACAAGGCCAGAGGGCCCAGATGTTGCCTGCTTGGAAAGCTGGAGAGGCTCCTTCTGACCTAATAGGTCAGGATGGGTGTTCTCAGAAAGCACCCCCACCCTAGCTTTTCCCTCCCAACATCCCTCCTCTTCCTTCACTCCCCATGAAGAAAGCCCAAGCTTCTTTAATCCTTAGACTACCATGGGGTACTGCATTCCACATCCTGTTCTTATCTATGTTCATTAAAGAAACACGGTGAATAAGAAGTCAAACTTGACCACAGGGCCAACCTGAGGAGGACAGAAGGGGTATCTCTCTCTGAATTGCTCTCAGGTGCCCACTGGGCCGGCACCCATCTGCCTGAGGCCTCACCTCCATCCTTGCCTCCATTGGCTCCTGGCCCCTGTGTTTCTGCCCGTGTCCTGGGGACCTGACCTTGTGTTCACGCATCTCACTAACATTTGGACGTCTTGGGTCCTGACCCTGATTCACTAACCCCAGCTTCTCAGAAGGGCAGAGACCCCCCCTCCCAGTGCCCACTGGTCTTCATGCTGTCTGGCCACAATGCCCAGTCTCAGGGTCCTCCCTTGCCAGGGCCCAGCAGATCCCCAAGGCCTGGGGCAGCAGCCCCAGTGAGATGAGGGATGAGGCGGGGCTTACCTCTTCACCGTGCGTAGGAGAGTGGAGCGGGCTTCGTTGTGGAAGGTGATGATGACACTGGTGGCTGGCAGGTCGGAGGAGTAGGACACAGATGGACAACTGAGAAGAGAGCAGAGAGCGCAGAGGGCAGCTGTGGGACATCCTGGGGCAGGTTTGCGGCGTCTCTCTGCCCATTCTGATGCCCCTGAGGCTGGGCGCAGGCCCTGCCCCCGCAAACCCACACCCACCCCACTCAGGCTGCCCAGCCTGGAGTCCCTGGAGGGAAAGCCCAGGCTGGGGCAACTTCCCAGGCTCAGGGGCTCTTCACCCACATCCTAGGATCACTCGGAGCCCCACGATCACTGAAGTGCTAAGGGGGGCTCTGACGTGTGTAGGTACACAGACAGAATCAACCTGGACTAACCGATGCAGCAGCCAAGACAGAAAAAATGGCAGAGGGGAGAAGAGGGAAGATGGCCTTTCTTTTGTCTCTGTAGCTTCTTCCTTCTCGTCGCCTGTCTCCTGACATCTGGTGGGATCTAGGGAGGAATTGCCCCCATCCTGCCCTCCCGTGAATCCCTCCCTCTTGCTGCCAACGTGAACAGCCAGGCTGGTAACAGCAGATAGGGTGCCCTCAGGCTTTCCATGGGCCCTGGGGCACCTGTGGGAAAAACTGAAGTCTCTGAGGAGACACCAAAGGCGGTTCCCCCCAGCCCACTCCCTCACCCAGCAGCTCTGTGCTCCCACCTTCTCCAGACACTACATTTTGGGCCCTGTCCTCTGGAAAGGGAATTAAAACGATCCATCCCCGCCAGCCTTCAACGCTGTCATTTCTGAGAATGCTTCTGTGAATGCATTTACTCGTGCTCCTGGGGCCGGTGGGAAGGCAGCCGCAGAGCTGGTTTTCATAGCAATCTTCTTTATTACAATTGCTCCCTGACTATTCCAGCCGCAACCATTTTTTCATTACGGCATTCATTCCACTGACAGCGGCTTATGGCCAAATTCCCAGGCCATTTCCTGTCCAGCGGAGCAGACAGGGTCAGACAGGCAGGAGTTCCTCTAGCCTGGGACCCCCACAGGAGAAATCGTGAGAGGCCTTAAAATAATTCTCCTTGAGAGGGGGTGTGCGGGAGGAGGAGGGGTGGAGTTCTCCTCTGCACGGGAAGCCAGGCGTTCCAAGTGCCTCTCCTCCCAGAGGCTTGTGGATTTGGGGGCTGGAGGGGGCTTGGTCTGCTGAGATGGGGAGCCCTGGAAGAAGGGGTCAGCCCCCTGCACTGACCTCTAGGGCCCCAGTTCTGTATCTCTGAATCCTAAGTGCCCAGGAAGGAGGGAATGTGGACAGTGATACCCACTCTCCACCTGAAGGTGGCCAACCTGCCCACACCCCATCTGGACAGTGGATTTGACCTTCTCCCACCGGCCCCCTTCAACCATCTCCACCCTGCATTTCTCTGGGATTTGTATCTGTGATGATAGGAATGTATGGCTTGTAGTGACCAGGAGCCTCTGAAAAGGTTTGTCTCATGTCTGTGGGGCTGGTGGGGTCTTCTCTGCGATGCTGGTAGGTCTGTCTCACATAGGTTAGGTGTCTTTGGAAGACCTCCCTCAAGGGGGCTCCTTGGATTGAGGGCTGCACCAGGACCTGGCCTGACAGTCTGGGGTCCAACAGGAGCTGGAAGGGGAAGAGTATGGCTCACCCCACACCCCAGGCTCTGCCAGGGGAGGCCCTGTCCACCACCGCCAACACCTTCTTTGCTGCCCCTACAGAAATGCATGTGCAAACACACACACACACACACACACACACACACGCACCCCCTGATCCATCTCAGTCTTCTGAGAAGGCGGGGCAGAAGCACTGGGGCAAGACAAGAGGCCTTCGTCACCAAGCACCACTGGCCTGGATTTGAAGAGTCCCGTTTTAAAATGTGTGTGGCCCCAAGGGGAATTCCGCCTCTAAGTTTCCTGGTGAACACCTGAGAAAGTTCAGAGTGGGGGAGGATGGGGGGAAGGGCAGAGGGGATCCAGGCCAACCCCTCAGTGCCCAGATTGGGGTCAGCGGAGCCTCCAAGGCCCTGCGGTCCTGGTCTAGGGCCTCTCTCACCTAGCACGCCGGGAGAACAAAGAGCAAGAGTGGGAAGCATTTCTGGGAGCTGCTGAGGAAGGGTGGGAGGCAGTGGGGCAGGCAGAGAGGAAGGAAAGGGATGCCAGTGGGGGCGGTGCACAGCACTCTATTGTTTGCACAGGGCAGGTGGGGCTGGCGGCCCCACGGGCACCACCAGCCAGGCACCAGGGACGCCAGGCTCCCCCACCCCCTGCAGACCTCCCCCTGGTCTCCTGACCGGCCACTCTCGCTTGGACTCCGGACTGAGGTACTGAGGGGCCTCTGTGGCCTGGCCGGGAGGCCTCCTTGGGCCTCTCAGCCCCTCAGGAGGTCAACGACACTAAGAGGAGCCAGGAAAACAACAGATAGGAAGGGTTTGTATGTCTCAGTAACTAGACTGAGTCAGAGGAAGTTTTCCTCATTTCTTAAACCCACGTGACTGAAAGACAAGCCAGCTGGGGCCGGCCCTTCCCCTCCACCTTTCTTTCTCCACAAGCGCAACAGAGGCCACACCTGTAATGGCGGGTGTCCCGGATGGGCCGGTCAGGGCTCAGCTTGTCGCTCTCCAGCTGGTTGAAGGCGTGCTGCCTGTAGGGGTCCTCTCCTGGCTTCAGCTGCTTGGCTGCCAGGTACGCCTTCTCATCAAAGCCTCTGGAGGGCGTTCCTGTCACCTGAGACAAAGGTCAGCATCAGAAGGGCCACAGGCAAGAGGACAAGGGAGCCACTGCGTGGGGAGTACTTATGACCAGGCGGGAGCCAAGCATCACCTCTTTTGTACCTGAGCAGGAGATTACTATTTCCCCCATTGTACAGATGAGGAAACTGAGGCTCGAGGCAGTACCCCCACATGTGGGGGCAGGGAGTATCTGGGAACTCTGTACTTTCCACTCAATTTTGTGTACCTAAAACTGTTCTTAAGAAGTAAAGCCTATTGGACTTCCCTGGAGGTCCAGTAGTTAAGAGTTTGCCTGCCAATGCAGGGGACACATGTTTGATCCCTGGTCCAGGAGGATTCCACATGCTGTGCATCAACTAAGCCCGTGCACCACAACTATTGCATCTGTGTGCGGTGGCTACTGAAGCCTGGGCGCCTAGAGCCCATGCTAACAACAAGAGAAGCCACTAAAATGAGACGCCCCAACACTGCAAGCAAGTGTAGCCCCTACCTGTCACAACTAGAGAAAGCCCATGTATAGCAATGGAGATCCAGTACAACCACAAATAGTAAATATATCAATATTAAAAATAAAAATAAAAAAGCTCAAGGTCAGAGCTAGTAAGTCCCAGGTTTCTGGAGTCAAGCTGGTCATTCTGACTCAGAAGCCCACACTCTTGACCAATGCTCTTTGCGGGATGTGGAGATGGTGACACTTTGGAAGGCACCAGATCCCCCAAGATAAGGGGACCACCCGAGGGAACCACCAACGAGGCTAGAGGTCACCAAGCAACCGTCAGTTGGACAGTCTCCTAGGTATGAACTTGGGCCTGACACTGGGGCTAGGCATGTAGGAGCTGCCTGATCAGTGAAACACCCAGGGCTTGGACAAGGTTCTGCCCAGAGGACCACCTGTGAGGACAGGTGGGCCTTCCCAGGCTGATGCCAGAGCTGCTAGGATGCCAGCACACTGACAGCGAAGCATCTTCTCCGGGACTCGTGCTTGCTGCTGAAATGGCCCACGTCAGACCTCCGGGGCCCTGGGTGCTAAGTGCTGGGAAGTGACAGATGGCGATTGCCGTGGTCCAGCCCCCCTCCTCTTAGCCACACCCTGCTCTGTGCTCCCAAAGTCCCCCCATGAAAGACACTGGGGAAGGACACATCCGAGATGAATGGATGGGTAGATGGATCCTGACATCCCATTATTTGAGCCACACTGCTGGCCGGATGGTCCCCAGAGTGCCTGGAAATATCATCAACTGTGAGTGCATCTCGACTCCACCAGGTAGGAGCTGTGGGCCCGCAGGGGCGCCAGGAAGGTGGGTGAGAGTTGTCCAGGGATAGAACCCTTGCATGAGAATCCCACTTCAGGTCTAGTCTCTAGAGGGATGGTCCCAGGAAAGCAGCTTGGCCTGTGGAGAGGAGACCAATGTGTTAGGTGATGCTGGGGGACATCCACCAGCAGCCCAGGGCCTCTATGTTCCCCTGAGAACCTAGAGCTCCAGGGAATGCCTGCTCTTTTAGGGCTGCCTCTCTGTAGTGTTCCCACCTCCTAGGAGCCAGTCCTGAGCTCCCTGAGGTCAGAGCCAGTGAGGGAGATTTCCTCAGGTCCACTACGCGCAGCCTCGTGCCACACACATGCTTCAGATGGTGACGACGGCTGTAGTAGCTGCGCTGTGGTGTCCTGATTTGGTGCCATGCCAGAGGCTGGGAAGGTAGGGTAGAGTCCTCATGGACTCAAAATCCATTTCAGGAAAGAGAGAAGGAGGGAAGGAAGGAGGGAGAGGGAAATAGAGAGAGGAGGAGAAGGTTCTGGCTTGAACCCTGAATTGCTAGAAGGACCCAAGCTGTCAACTGTGAAAGTCAGAATGAGGGTTCTTTTGTGTCCTTCCCACCGGGGGAAAGAATGGGTGCTAACTCTGCCCCAGAATTCCTCTCAGCCTGGGGGTCAGGAAAATGGAAATCAGCCTCCAATTGATGGTGGAGGAGCTAAAATAAGAAAAAAAAAATTGCAGAAGCTCCTATGGGGAGAGTATGTTACTGAATTATCCTGCAAGTCAACTGAGAGAAATAACCATGCCACGCTTATTTATTTAGGACTTACGGCTACTCTGTGGGCTCAGGAAACCTCCAAGCCCTCATGCCACACTCACCCATCACCCAAAAAATATTGATCAAGAGCCACCCATCTACCGGGCACTGGGACACACTTCTGGAAGTTCCAAAGATCACCTGATCATTCATTCATTTTATGGATGCTTGAATCCACGCACTCCTTCATCCACCCACCCATTTATCCAGAAAAGCCCCACTGAGCACCTGCTATGTGCCAGAAAGAAGAAGGATCGCTTCTGACACCGTCCTCTGCTGGCTTCCTGGCCTCATTCAGAGCTTCCTTGGGGCCTCAGAGAACGTTGTGGAAGAGCATCTCTAGGGAAGTTCCTCTCAGGGCCTCAAAACTGAGCTAGACATCCTCAAAGATGCATCTACTGCTCCCTTCCTCAGATCATTGCCTCTGATGGTCCAACCCTCCTCTGAGGCTAGACCCTTCACCCATGACACACCTTTGTGAAGAAGGGTGCCAAGGAAACACAGGCCTGCTCCCTCCAGAGGTCTCAGCTCTGCTTTCCCACTGACCCAGCATCCACGGGATCTGGAGCTGAAACATCAGTGGCCCTGAGTCAGCCAAGTGGGGCAGAGACTGAGGAAGGGTACGATGGGAACTCTCTATCCAGCCCCTCCCTGGCCTCAGCCCAGTCACCACGCGGAGCTCCTCTACTGGGTATCTAACCAGTCCACACACCCACCCCATGGCTCATTTCCCTCCAGCTCCTGAACTCTCTTCTCCCTCTGGCCCTGGGCTTTGATCCTGAGACTTCCAGGCCATGACCACCTCTAACTCCATGTCTCAAGACGAATTCATCAGTTCCCCAGCGCAGCTGCTTCTCCTGTGCTGCCTGAGGCGGACATGGGCAGTCCCACCCTCTGGGTCCTCCAGGTGATAAGTCCAGGGGTCACCCCTGGTGCCCTCCCGCCCCCAGGTGCCACAGTCTGATGCAGACCCCAGCCCTGGGTCCCACAGGCAGTGGCTGATGCACATCCCACTAGTGTTAAAGCAACAGGTTATTCCCTGAGAGTCTAGTTTGTGTTAACACTGTGCAAGAAGCCGGGAGGATGGAAATCAAAAGGACAGCTCCCAGAAGAGAAATCTAGGGATCTAGATCACCCACCTCTCCTCTCCCATCCCACACAGGGCATGGCCATGCAGGATCGTGAAGAAGCCTCCACCCTCAAACTTAGATCACAGGTGGCTGGAGAACTGGCCCTGGGACTTCACTCACCCTACCTTGGCTGGGGCAGGAGTCCCGCGATGGCGCGGGCACCAGGCCCTGGTGAGAAGTGCGCTGTGGTCTCCTGTTCTCTCAGCCACACTGCCCACAAAGCACGCTGGCGAGGAGTAAAGCATCCTTCAGCTCTAGGCTGCGGGACCATAAGGAGCTATATCTCAATGAGCCTCAGGGACCTGAGATGCTGGACTTGGATCCAGGTGGAGCCACTGGATGGGACTGGCACTTTCTGGATGAGGGCACGGGGGCTGTCTGTGGAATTCTTATACCACATGGCACTGACATCTTGCTTTATGTCTCTTTCTTTTGAACTAGATCATGAGCTCCCAGCACCTGGCACACAGTAGGTATTAAGCAGATGTTTACTGAATAAAAGGATGAATGAGTGAGTGAGTAAATGAATGAATGAGTGAATGGATACCTAGACAGTGTCCCTACTCTCATCTTACTTAAAATCAACTGGGGAGAAAGCCACAGTGAACCGATGGGATCCTCTGACAAAGCACATGGCCTCCAGTGGCCTTCACCCTCCCTGAGTACGAGCCTCAGAGCTCACAGTGGCCCAGGAGACTCTGGGAGCCAATGCCCTGTCCCCTTGTTGGCCTCAGCTTCTGAGCCCTCTCTGGCTCTGCTCCAGTCACACTGGCCTCCTGACGGTCCCTGAGTCTGTCAGTACCTTTCCCCTCTGCCTCTTTGTTCGTTCTGCCTTCTTTCCAGAAGGCTCTTCTCCCAGATGTCTGCATAGCTTGCACCTTCACCCCCTGCAGAGCTCTGCTCAAACCTCACCTACTTGGTGAGCCTTCCCCAAACACCACCAGTAAAACCCCAGCCCCACACTTGCCTTCCATCCTTCCACCTGCTGTTTCTCCTTATAGTACTTAGCACCATTGGATGTTCTACATGCATTTTGCTTATCAATGTTATATCGTTGACTGCTTCTTCCCATAAAAATAAAACCTTCACCAGGACAGGGATTGTCTGTTTCATCTAATGCTGGATCCTGAAGCCCAGAACAATACCCAATAAAGACAATGGCTAATGAGTATGTGAGTGATGGAGTGATGAGCTGTCATGACTACAAGCATCTCTTGCCCCCACACCACACTCCTCACACTCAGTTAATACAACACTTGGAACTGAAAAGGACCAAGACAGTGGCAGGCTAGTTTTTGCCCATTTTAGGGATCTCCTCACTCACATGCTTCTGACAGGGCTGCTAATTACTTCCCTCCCACCCGACCAATACCTCAGTCATCACCATGGGGTGGGCACAAGACCCAAGCTAAGCTGACCTTGTCACGGCACTCCCAGACACAGGGTACCTGTTCAGAACAGTCATTTGACTAAATATGGGCCAATCAGAATTAAGGCTGAGTGCCAAAGAATTAATGTTTTCGAACTGTGGTGCTAGAGAAGACTCTTAAGAGTTCCTTGGACTGCAAGAAGATCAAACCAAAAAAAAAAAAAGATCAAACCAGTCAATTCTAAAGGAAATCAATCCTGAATACTCATTGGAAGGACTGATGTTGAAGCTTAAACTACAATACTTTGGCCACATGAGGCAAAAAGCCAACTTATTGGAAAAGACTCTGATGCTGGTCAAGATTGAAGGCAGGAGGAGAAAGGGGCGACAGAGAATGAGGTGGTTGGATGGCATCACTTACTCAAT